TCTCACCCTTCTTCAAGTGTCTTGAACTTGTATTTATATGTTGGAATGAAGTTGTGGTCATTTCTAGTCGTTTGAGGATAAAATATCTGCAAAATAAAACTGTCCAGTACATAGGGTATATGTACTCCTAAAGAGAGTATCGGTACTACGTTTGTTATTTTTAAATCAACTAGTCGTTACAAGCCGTTGGGGCCTGATGGTATTGATACTCTGCCTATGGTATCGATACTACTATACAAAGTAGTATCGGTACCCCTTTGGGTATCGATACCATTTTTTACATTATGGAATTTGATCAATGTTGCTGGTAGAATCGATACTACCTAGTGAGTATTCATACTTCCCTTACCTTGATATCGATACCATATGAACAATATCAGTATTGTTCATGAGGTATCGATATTGTAAGAACAGTATCGATACTACTTGTCTAGAAAAACATTTTGTGCTCAATTTCAAGTTAAATGGACTTTGAATTATTTTTGAAAACTTTGAAAAACTTTGAATAAATTCAATTCAAGTCCAAAAACATTTTGACTTAATTGTTATATCAAAATATAGTTCAAAAACGTGTCATAAAAACAAAATTATTAAAAATAAAAACAAGAAAAAGAGAAATATACGCTATGATAAAGCAAATGAATAAAAATAAATATCAACGATCGATGACTAGCACCAAGGTTGGTATCGACGTCGATCATAAAAATAAAGAAGAAAAGAGACTAACGGTGAGTGAAGAAAAAGAAAGAAAAAATAGGATAAACCTTAATTTTATTTTTGAATAAAATAATAAATTGTAAATTAGCAAATATTAATGTTTAATATGCTTAATTTTTCTAAATTTTTATTACTTATCATAATCTATCAAATAAATTATAAAAAATAAAAAAATATCTAGAAGATGAGAAATATATTATAAATTAAAGAATTTAATAACATTAATTCCTAATTCATTCATTCCCAAACAATATGCAACCACATCATACAACCTTAGGAACATCGTATCACATGATACAAGTTTATTAAAATCACATACAATATCATGTATCTTTCATCTCATGTATGCACTTTTGGTGCCACTAATACATATTTAGATGCCACATGCACTTGTATACTTACATACCTTTTCATATATCAAGTAATATGCATTATAACAGTGACCAATACCATGTATAAAAACACTATGAATTAAATCCATCGTGCTTGGATATCTCACTACCATCATACGTGAGTCTCCGTTTGAATCAATTGAGATGAACTATTACGAGTTGGCGACTCCCACTTTATTTATAAACATTTATATCCTCTGTGGGATGGTGGGTCATCTCCTTTCATTTGTGATGCTCAACTTTTTCGTTCATTTCATGTGAATATAGAATGAAGTTTAACTTTTTTTTTAAACGGGGATTTATTTTACCAATAATGAAAAATATTTGCTAAAACAATTAAGGTGTAAGATCAAAATGATAAAACTCTTCTGTTAAGTATTTAATGTTGTTCCTAAGGTCTCTGGTTTGAGACCTTGATTAGGTCTTGGAATTTGGTCTAGGGTTACCTTTTCTTACATTGTTAGAATATGTACGTGTTGTGTTCGTAGAAAGAGAAACGGGGTCAAAAAGAATTCCAACAAAATTAAGCTGCAGAAATTACATTTGTATTGACCTAAAACAACAATGGCATAGACAAGAAATGAGTGAACCTTAATGATAATGAATAAATTATTCCAAGCAGTGGCGGATCACTTGTTGTTTAGGATGAGTAGACATTATTTTGAAATCTGAATTTATTTAGAATTATTTATTTATTATATTATATTTATCTTGATATTTTATTTGTACTCTCACGTATAAATTTTCGTATTATCAAGGTCGGCCCTAGGGCAAGGCAGGGCAGGAGGGGCACCCGCCCAGGGACCACAAAATAATTTTTAATATATATTTTTTATTTTTATGATAATAAATTAAAAAATTGTAAAACAAAATAGAGTAATCTATGCATTTAGTACATAAACTATCAGTTTTGATCCGTTTTAGTACCTAAACTTTTAATTTTTTTCAAAATCATATCTAACGTTTAGTTTTCGTTTTATTTTAGTACCCGTCGTTAAAAACTTAACGTGTTTAGTATCTAACTATCAGTTTTGGTTTGTTTTAGTACATAGAATTTCAGAAAATTTTAAAACTTGACGTTAAATTTTGAATGGGCACTAAAATGAAATAAAAAATAAAGTTTTAACGGCGGGTAATAAAATAAAACAAAAATTAAACTTTACGTATGGTTTTAAAAAATTTGAAAGTTTAGGTATTAAAACAGACCAAAACTGATAATTTAGGTACTAAATACATAATTTATTCAATAAAATAATGAGGCCCATGAATTTATTAAGGTGTCACTTATCTTTATTGAATTTTATATTAATGTTAATAAATTGTTATTCCATAAAATTCTAATTTAATATTTTTTTCAAAATTAAAAAAAATCAATTGAACTATTTAATTTTGGTCTTTCAAAATTCCCACTATCAATTCACTAAATCTCTTTTCTGATTTTTCGTACCAATGAAAAAAATTTATTAACATTATTTTTTTTAAAACTTAATGACAGGAAAAAATTTAAGTGTAATTAGCATTTTTCTTTTCTCTTTCATGTTTCACGATTCACCTTAAAATTTTTATTCACATTTTTTAATTTATCATATTTCTCTCACACATAAAGTCACAATTGTTTATTATCAATTATGATGCTTAAATCATATGAAAGATTGTTCTTAAAATTTTAGGTAGATCACGTTTTCTAACTTTTTCTTTTAATTTTACATATTTTTCAAATTCTAGATAAGATCGTTCTTTCATTTTCAAATGCTATGTTATGTATTGAGAAAAATATGTTGGAAAGCATTGATATTGACACTATCATCAATGGTTTTGTAAAAAAAAATTGATCGAATGTAATATTTTTTTATAAATATTTGTATTCTTAAATATATATTTTTGACATCTTATATTGTAATGAATTACTATTTTTTTTAATTTAATAAAAAATCTAATAAAATTTGTATATTACATATTTCTTAATTTTTTTATATTAAGGGTTCTTTTTTTATTTTTACCCTGAACCTAAAAATAGTCAGGACCGACCCTGCATATTATTTATATATATCAATTCTAAAAAAATATTTTTAAATTCATTATTAATTCCAAAGATTATGGTATGGACAACTCAACAAAAGTATATATATGTTTCCACATCTTTACCTTATCTAGCTTAACCAAATTTTAATTTGGGTGATTTTTCGGACATTGTGATCTTAATGCAATGATGAGGTATAACATATATATATATGTAGATTGAAGGTGATTGGGGAGAAGAGAAGGCCTAAATAAAGTTCATTTAAATATGTTTACTTTTATTATCATCATCATTATTTTATGTGTATGTGTTTTGTTTTCTTTAAGGTGGGTAGTTGTGGTTTAATCACTGATTTCGGTTTGGACCGGAGATGCTTCTTTATTACATTATTATCATTATTGATCGGGTAGTGTTATAATAACAAAAATAAAATACAAGAGAAAGTGATGTCCCGACAGTGCTTGTGGCGTGGGGTGGTGTGGGGGATTGCAGTGGATCGGTTTGAGTTTTTAGTTCATTCAAATCTGATTTGAAAATTTAATTTCTTTAATTATATATAAGTCAATTTAAGTATAAGAAAATCTCATTTGATTCAAAATTTAAACTAATTTTAAGTCAAAATTTATATCCGATTCGACTTATATACGTAATTTATTTTATTAAGTTAAAGTGGAATCTAATTAAAAGAAATAAAAAGAGACGTTATTTAATTTTTCTAAATATATAAAAGAGAATTATAAATTTATAATAGTATATTGGGTTGAGTTAAATTTTTTCACTTTAAACTAAATTTATTTGACCTTATTTTTGGAAAACTCAATCTACATTGAATTTTTAAAATAAAAAAATCAATATGATTTGATTAGGTTAGATCAGAAATGACCATCTCTAGGTAGTTGTCTTTGTCGTCACAATGTCCCATGATCGGACGGCTATACAACGTCTGTGATCCTAGGCTTTTGTCCCACAGTTTTCATCGTTAAAGCCGGAAGAGCTGTTACAGCCTTACGGGATGGTGTGTATATACGTTGTTTGCATCGACTTTTTTGGCTACTCGACATCAGATTGGATCTTTTTGCTCAAAGTGATCCAACGGTAGGAGGCAGCTTGTAATTTTGAAGGAAGCGGTGACTCTAGCAAAATAATTACAGAGAGAGTTCAAAAAGATTGGAATGTGCATTGACTTTTTCCATTAAATATTAAATCATTGTTTTGGTCCCTCAACTATGATCGAATTTTGGATTTAATATCACGATTTTACTTATAAAAGCATTCAAATAAAAATAAAATGTCACAAACTCACCATTATAGGGTTATTTAATTAATAATTATTTTATATTACTTAAAAGTTAATTAACCAAAAATAGTATTCCTAGAGAGTTGAATAACTTTTGTTCTACTATATCCAAAGAAAAATATGAAAAGGCCTACCTAGCCTGGATTTGCGTTATAAACACGTGGTGCATTGCATTTATAATTTATCTCATCACTTTTAACTTAAGTTACACCTTCGCCCCGATTCTTCTCCTTCATTTCCTCATCTTTTTGAAATCTCCAAAACCCACTTCATTTTTCTTTTGATCAACGCACGATTCGCCATTGTTTCTGAGCTTTCTATTCTCTTTTCATTTGAAGCTGGATCGGTTCCTTTTCACTCTTTCTTAACTACACCTTTATAAGAACATATCAAGCATGTAAGTTTTGCCTTCACTAGTTCAAATCCTATTCAAAAAAACCAAAAACCAAAAAATATAGATATAGAATCTGTAGTTTATACTGTTATCTTTTGTTCTTGATTCTTGCCTGTCGTGGAGAAGATTAGAACAACCGTGTAGCTGCACCTTTATAATATATATATATATAAAGAAGTTTGTTTTAGTGAAAAAGAATGCCGGACGAAGAGACAGCAACCCCGACAGCGTCGGCGCCGGCAACACCGGGAACGCCGGGCGGACCGCTTTTCACTTCGATGAGGGTGGACTCACTGTCTTACGATCGGAAGTCAATGCCGCGATGCAAATGTTTCCCGGTGACAGCCCCAACGTGGGGTCAACCTCACACATGCTTCACCGACTTCCCTGCACCTGATGTCTCTCTTACCCGAAAGGTGCGCTTCCTCTCTCTCTCTCTCTAAGGGTGAACTATGTATTTAGTCACCAAACTATTCTCATATTTTTCATTTTTGTCACCTAAATGTAGATTTTGATTCTATTTTGGTTACTGTACTTAAAAAAGTAAAACTGTAAAATAATGTGACACGTTAGCATCATCGTTATTTATTTTATGATGGATGACCTAAACGAAATCAAAATGTAACTTTAGGAATTGTTTTAAAATAAGAATAGTTAAGCATTCAAAATAAAACCGGAAAGGTAATGGAGTGGTTAAATATGTAGTTTCTCTTTGTTTAATTATAATTCTGGTTCATATTTAATTCAAATGGTAATATAATATGACATAATTACGTCCAGTGGTGTATGGATTTATGTATGCAGCTGGGTGCAGAATTTGTGGGAACCTTTATCCTTATATTTGCGGCAACGGCTGGACCTATAGTGAACCAAAAGTATGGCGGAGTCGAGTCGCTGATCGGAAACGCCGCATGCGCTGGGCTGGCGGTGATGATAATAATTCTGTCAACTGGACACATCTCTGGAGCTCATCTAAACCCTTCCCTCACCATTGCATTTGCTGCCTGTCGTCATTTCCCCTGGACTCAGGTTCCCGCCTACATAGCAGCTCAGGTCTCCGCCTCTATCTGTGCTTCGTTCGCTCTCAAGGGAGTCTTTCATCCCTTCATGTCTGGCGGAGTCACCGTCCCCTCCGTCAGCTACGGACAGGCCTTTGCTCTCGAGTTTCTCATTACATTTAATCTTCTCTTCGTCGTCACGGCCGTTGCCACTGACACCCGAGCCGTATGTTTGTCTCTGTCAAATGTAACAATTTGGTTTAAGAAAATGGTATTCCATGATTGAAAGTAAATATGTTTATCTTACAGGTCGGAGAGTTGGCAGGAATAGCTGTTGGGGCGACTGTAATGCTCAACATCCTTGTGGCTGGGTAAGTACCATAATCAATTTACCATGTTTTAATTTTTTTTTCAACTTGATCTTTTTTATAAAAAAAAAGTAATTTGCATACACACTTGAAAATAAATAATATTTGATTATGTCACATTTTTTCAATATTAATGCTTAAATTTTCTTCGGTGCGGACAAAAAAATGAGAATTAATGATCAAGAAATGCCAAATGGTATTAGAATATTAGGTATATTGTATACAACTTAATTGATTTATTAAAAGGGTAAAAAAAGTTGAATTTAATAATATTAATACATTTTTTCTAAAATAAATAATTTTTAGTAGTCTAAGGTAATTACATGATATTATTTATTTAGAATTTTTTAATCATTGATAATGCATGTATCCAAAGATATTTATATTTCTGCCGGTGCTCGAACTCGTGATTTCTAAGGAGAATAATGAGTCCCTTAACCACTGAGTTCAATTGGTTTAAATAGACATATACACATGTATATATTATCAATAAACTAAGAAAAATTTTAAACAAATATTATATTATATTTATCAAACTATTAAAAAAAATTAGAATTCAAGATTTTGGTGCCGTTTGATAAACTACAGGTCAGGTTTTGGTTCCATTTGATGGACTAGAGTTAAATAAACGTTTATCATTCAAATTGCTACTTGTAGTTTTTCAAGATTAGTATTTGATTTTTTTAGTTTTATATTTAAATTTTAAAAAATTAAATTAGTATTAAGTATTGATAAAATATTTTAACCATTAAAATCATGTTGATGACTTATTTGGTTGTTAACATACCATATTAACATTAGGCATCTTAAAAATTCATTTCAAGTTTAGCTACTAATTTAAAATAAAAAATAGGGTAAACTAAAAACCTAAATTATAATTTTTGTTCAATTTTAATACTCAAACTTTATTTTTTTAAAATTATACTTAACATTTAGTTTAAGTTTCAATATGATACATTTTGTTAACAGATTAACATAACCACTAACATGACATTTTTTATTTTTTTCAAAGATGATATGTCATTATCTTATGATGACACATACATCATTGTTAAATTTTTAACGGTATTATACTAAATTGAAAGCTAAACTAAACATTATATGTGACTTTGAAAAGCCTAAAATTTAGGTGCCAAAATGAAATAAAGTGATAATTTAGATACTAAACATATAATTTATCCAAAAAATATGTATTAATTTAAAACTTTTATCAAAATAAATTACATGTTATAATAAGAGAATATAAAGTAGGCATGAGAGGGTCAATATAAAATGAGTAATAAAGACAAAAATAAAGTAGTGGTTGACCTTTGATTTGCAGGCCAAGTAGTGGGGGTTCAATGAATCCAGTGAGGACATTGGGGCCAGCGGTGGCAGCTGGGAATTACAAGGCATTATGGATATACTTGATAGCACCCACACTCGGCGCCTTAATCGGTTCCGCCACTTACACTCTGGTGAAGCTCCGCGATGATGAGTCCCAACAAACGCGCCAAGTCAGGAGCTTTCGACGCTAGCCAACCCCAATCATATCAGCCTTGAAGCTTCTTTTCATACTTCACCATTTCTTCTTTCTTCTAGTGTCCTGTCTCTGTAAAATGAAAAACACATATATAATGATTGTGTGGGGTAATGGATAAGATGGGTTTTGGGAATAATAAGCAATGTGACCATAAGTCCACGACCTACAGTACCTTGGTTGAATTATGTTGCGCTTTGCTTTGTATTTTCCTTCTTTTGGGTTTTTGCTTTTGTCTATTTTAACGATGCACCACTCAGGGGTTGATTTGTAATTTTCTTAGCCATGCTTGTCAATAGAGAAGTTCATCATGTGTGAAACTAGTCAGCTTTGGAATGTGCGACTCTTTGTATATAATATTGCCAAAACACAAGGAGTGTGTTATAAGAAAAATGGCAATGCATTAATATCGGCTCAAGATACAATACCATGATAATTTACCCTTCAATTAATCCGATCCACTAGAGTTACAATAACACCCGCATCATGGAATTATTTCCCTATGCAACCAATTAAGAAACTCTTCAATACACAAATCAAGCGACTTCAGTGATTAAAAGATTATTGTTATTTTTTGAAGTCTTGAATTTAAGTATCACGTCTGTAGAGATACAAAACCGTTGATTGTTAAATGATTAAAAGTCTTTCAAACAAATACACTTTATATTCCCCTTAGATTAATAAAAGAAACTGTGGACAACAAACCGTACGAGTGCAAAAACATGGCATGAAAATGCCATTCAATATATGAATTCATGATCCAATCTCCAATGAAAAAGGCATTTACTACCCTAATTCCATCTCTTTTTCTATATTTTCTAGCATTCATTTCATCAGGGAAGAAAACAAATAAACGTGATATTCTGGATTCCCTCACCTTTCTGACGAGTAAATAACTTCTTGTAATAAATGCAGCATTCACATTGAACCAAATACCAATAAATTTTTGTCATTTTTTTTCATTTTGTTTCTCAGAAATTTCTTCTAGGCTCATCTCCGAGAAGCAGAGGAACGATTCAGCAGATCCCGAGCCCCATAAATTCCTGGAATTTATTTGGGGGGGGGGATCTTATCTCAACAGGAGCATATTTACTGCACAATAAATAAATGACAGTAGTTTTACAGAATCAGGTTATATAAGCTGAAACCAAGACATGAAAGTGCACTTCCAAGGCCAAGTGGAACATGAAAGCCCCTCTAGCAAAGAATCTATCCTTATACCAACAGAACAAATAATCTATCAGGAACTATTTAGGCCATTGAAATTAACAGGATCGTGCACTAACTTACAGGAGTTGCAGCCACTTAGCCCCACTATGACGAGAGTATCTGCCAACTTTATCGGGGATGCCTGGCATACCATATTTTTCACCTACTTTACCTGATCGTGAAGATAGAGTTGTCAGGAAACTAGTTGCCAAGTTTCAGATGGAAGAAAACAAGAGGCAATGGAATAGCCACTTACCAGAAACATCTTCCTTTTCCATAAAAGAAATGACAATATAGATGTGAAGTCTAAAACGAAATATAGCTCTGGGATTTATTGACATCCAATTCTAATATCACTATTCACTTATAGCACTGAAGGAAAGCTTATTTGAGATTAATTCAACTCTAGAGACCAGCAAATGTCAAAGCATACATATGTCAATTGTCAACTTCTTTACATAAAGCAACCATGAATTGGAAATAAAATAATTTAAAACAAAAAGGAGTAAACAGACAAACGAACAACTTATAGAAGGGAACTAGTAAAATCCATAGACAATACCAGCAGGATATCCTGGAAAAAGGTTTTCAATTCATTTTGTCATGAAAAAGGATACAGCACAAAATTTTACAAGAAATAGGTACGCAGTACCCGAGTACACAGAATTTCACTATATTTTTCTACAATTCAAAGAACATGCTATTTATTGTTTTGAGTTCTTCGAGCTCCTCCCCGCTAGCAATTCCAGGATCAATATAGCATAACTGAAAAGGAAGATAAATATTATAAACAAATATTTTTTATATATAAAAGTCAATTATAAGAGAATTTTTTTGTCCAGTTGAATTGTAACCTGGTACTGTGGCTTCTTAATGGTGTGTACTCCTCTTTTTATAAGCTTCTGCCATCCCGCATTTATTTTAAGTGTCCTTTCCAAAGAAAATGTTCTCTGTACTTGCATAAACCATTACAAAAGAAATGTAGCATTAGCAGCAGTACAATCACCAACACTGTAACTAAAACATGAATGCAACATGTACATGCATAAACATCAACAAAAAAAAAAAGTTCTGGCAGCATAAGGAAAAAACGGTTAGTGAGACACCCCTGCAAGTTCCAATAACAATTACCGACAATGTGACACAAACATGCAAGCAACAACAAGAACATGCACAAACATAAAAAAAAAAACCTAGGTTCTGGTAGCTTGAGGAAAAAATGGTTAGTGACACACACCTGCAAGTTCCAATCACTGGCAAAAGAACCTTTTCTAATTACATGTTTCCCAAATTTCAATTCTCTGATCACAGAACAATTTTAATCAGCATGTGCATTGTATTTAAGTCTACAATTTCAAGGGCAAAAACCAAAGTCTTAACATGGTGGTCATGGCTTGGCTTGAGTTTGCAAACAAAACCGTCTGATAATCATACCATACAACTTCTGTCAACTAAATATAATCAGACATAAATATGCAGAACTTTATCTCAGCAAATCCGTATGTGATAAATGTGGATATAAACCAGAGTACTCAAACACAGTAAAAATACATGGGAAAATTATAAAAGATTGCCAGGGTCAGGACGAAGTGTATAATCAAAACTTCAGTGAAGTGGCAATATCATGATTCATAACTAAACTGAGTAAAATATTTAGTAATGGTGTCATTTTTCAATGTCTACTAGCTGTTAAGAATATCAGATGACCACAAAGGGAATTACACGAGTAGTACTCACCTCAGCAGGGTCCAAAATCAAGAGATTGAACTGACGCATCCCATTCTGCTGATTTTTAACCTGGATCCCAATGATTGTTCTTGAATGTCCATCATGTTGGAAGTATAAAGGCCTGCCCATAAAAGCTACCGTAAAAACAGGATTATAGAATGTAATAAGGAACTTATTCTTCTGTTTCTTATTAAAATTAAGAGAAAAAAAGGACAAAAACAGAATGGCATTCCTTTGATTCGTACCTTAGCTAAAAGGGAACATTAAACAAGAAGTATAGTTAGCAATGTTGATGGTTACTTACGCTCTATCACTGACTACAACTTGACTGGAGCTGGATACAGTTAACCCTTTATCTGAAAAGTAATTCCACACCCAGTCTATCAGAACCTGAGGCCCCTCACTTTTCCCTTGAGAATTATCACTCAATTTGCCCAAAGAATCACAAGAGTGTTTTCCCTTATTCAAATCCTGCTGGCGATGAACATATCTATCCATAGGTCCAGAAACTTGAACTGCATTCCTTTGCGTCACTGGTTGTCCTAGAGTAGAACCAGGAACAGAAAGAAAGAGCTGTTCAGATTCCTTAGGACCAAAGTCAACCACCCTAGCACGAAGACCGAATGAACGAAAAAGTGAAGCGCATTCGGTAGTCCCAATCCAGTGACTGGTACCATAGATTTTGCAGTTAAAATGTTGGGCACCAGGAGGATCAAATCCCCTTTCCCAAGCAATCTCAAGCCAACGTTGAAGGAAAGCGATATCAGGAACAAAACCTGACCCACCAAACAGGACTTCTCTAGCTTCCTGCCTGTGTGCAAGCAAATGAGAACATAGCATTTGAATGTTACGCCAGCCACAACCCCAACCGACATCTATGGATGGAACACTATGGAAGTGATCCACGTAGCCAGACAAAATGGTTATTGATGAGTTGTGCCGGGCCTCTAGTTCTAAACAGTTTCGCAGCAGGGAAATCAAACCATCTTTAACATGGTAATAATTGCCCCTTGTTTGTAAACCAATCAAGGAGGAAATGCTATCCACGTTAGTAGAGCCTGAAGAAGAAGCAATTTGAATTTGATTAGCCAATTCCAGGTATTTAGCTTCCTTATCTTCATCCTCGAAGTGACTGTTGGAGTGCCTAAACCAAATATTTACTATTATTACTCTTATCCTAAACCAGAGTTCGAATTAGAAAAGAACTGAGGGCGGAGAAAAGTTCATACCATTGGAGTTCTGCGGAGGGAAGGGAAAGGTGACAAAAGGGACAAATGGAAGATTCCATAGACAACGCTTCACTACTTCTTCAATGGGAAAGATCTTAAAATTTGAATCTTTTCCTGTAACTTACTTCTGTTCTAATCGCAAATTCGTTGAAACATGGAATCTGGCGGTTATCGAAAATTTTCTGACGAATAATAAGAAATAGAATAAGAAATGAATGAAGTCGGTACCGGAGCCTAAAATGAAAGAAAGAAGCGGAGAATGGAGACGCTAACCTCAAAAGGCGGAAGTGGCGGTGGAAGCGCCCATCAGAGAGACGCCGACGATTTGCCTCCTACGTTGCGTTTTTGATATATGCGGTTTTGGGTGCGAGAAAATTCAAAATAGTTGAACAAAGAGAAAAATATAATAATAAAATAAAAAGAGTAAACTACACCTATGGTCACTTTTTATGGATTTAGTAACAAACCTTTCCTTTTTCTTATGAAAGTTACAAAATGATCACTCATTTAAAAATTAGTACAAATATGTTACTGAATTAAAATATTATTACAAAAAAATTATGAAGTCGTTAAATATTATACGAAACAGCGATGTGTTATAGTATAATAATAGTTTTAGTCCTTAAAACTTATAAAAATTTATTAATTTGATTTTAATCTAAAATAATTCAATATATTTAACTTTTTCATATCTAAAATTTCATCATTTTAGTATTTTTTTATTCTTCTTCTAAATTGCTGGTTCTTCTCACATAAATGTTATATTACTTTCCTAGTATAATAACAATTTAATTGTAATTTGTTATAATAGTTTAACAGCAACTTTTTGTTGTTTTATAACAATGCAGTTATTCAACTATTGTCTTAAAATGATGGACTCGTTCGATTTGACAATATCACACAAAGACTAATATTAATAGATTTTTTAACTATGAAAGATTATATTTATTAAATTATTTCAAATTAAAACAAAATTAATAGAATGTATAAATTTTGAGACTAAAATATTATTATACTAGGGTACATTAAAGGTTCGTTTCAATTTTAATGACTGAATGACATGTATATAATAATATTTTAATTGAATGACTTGTTTGTAACTTCAAAAATATAGTATATATAAGTTCCAAAATATGGATTAATCACATTGTTTATCTATCGTGGATCATTTTATAATTCATTCCATCTTTAATTTTATATATTCAATTTTGTTAATAGTTTAGGGTGATTATAAGATAGTATCTACTCATATTTTTTTAATTAATTGATAACGTACACATCCTGCAGACGCAACTGCTCGAACATAAGATCTCTAAATAAATAACATTCATTTTTTCCATTTAGGTTTTCAATAAAAGGTGACATCAATAAGTTAAAATTATATGTTTAGCACTTAAACTATTATTTTTGTTATGTTTTAGTACCCATACATTTTTTTTTCAAAACCATACTTAATTTTTAGTTTATCTTTCAATTTGGTACCTTATCGTTAAAAAAATAACCAAACTGTTGACGTGATATTTTTTTCAATGATATTGTGACATTACCTTATAGTGACATGTCAACATAACCATTAAGTTTTTAGCGACTGGGTACCAAAATGAAACATAAACTAAACATTAAGCATGCTTTTGAAGGAAAAGAGTTTGGGTACTAAAATAAAACAAAAGTAATAATTTAGGTACTATACATGCAATTTAGCCTTATTTTTTATAAACTACACCAAATATCAATGAAAATTAGGTTGTATATCTTGGAATTTAAAATGTTTCAATTTTAGTTCTAAACTTCAGTTAAGATATTTGATCGTTAAATTGTTAACGACATAATGATATTGTCTTTTCTTACCTGTGAACTTTAACTTGCGTATCAATTTGGCCCTTCTAGAAAATCATCAACTCCTTCAATCGTCACTGTCAGGCAATTGTCACCCATCAACGATCATCATATTTCGAGCAATTATGCGGTATAACCTAAATTTTAAGGTTAAAAATGGTATAAATTACAAATACTAAAAATGTTATCAAAAAGCATAACATTGGAGGTTCGCCCAATTATCGCAAGATCGTTATCAAAATATTTAAATTTCACTCATTTTTTCTTGTTAGATTAGTTTTTCTACGAATCCCACTCAAAATCAATGAAAATTCATCTAAAGGTTCAACGTTCTAATGCTATGATGTTCTCTGACAACCTTCGAATGAGACTATTTTTTGAGCTATATTCTTTGTCTTCTCAAAAATTACTTGTCACCGTTTATATTTTCAAACACCTCAAATCCGAAAAGTCTTTAATCACTATTGGCCTCCAATACATGTGTCGGCGGAATTAGACTTGTAATATCCTCAATACCGGGTTAGTGATTAAATTGTAAAAATTTAGAATTTGATGACTAAAACACAAAATAATTGAATAGTATTGTAATTTGGTATAGGGTTAAATTGCAAAGAAGAAAGAATAGAAGGATAGAATGGTCTTTTTCAAGGAAAATAATTAAAGAAGTGATTTATATATTAGCTCCACGTGGAAGAGAAGAAAGAAAACAAGGTTCCAGAGTTCTCTTATTCTCTTATTTTCTCCTAAACGTGAAGAGGTCAAAATAAATGTGAGATTTTTCATGAGTTAATTATTTGCTGAAATTTAAGTTTTGTTTTGATCCTTATATGCTAATTAAGCTTACGGAAAGCTTAATTTGCTTTAAAACAACAAGATGAAGGGTGTAGGAAGAATTAAAGATTATGAGTTCTTGAATGGAATTTTAAAATAGAGTTCATATTGGAAATCGGAGGTTGAATTTGACTTGTCATCGACTTAATTAAGACATACGAAGTGTTAAAATTAGATTTAGAACATGTTGGAAATTGAGGGAGATTCTTAAAATCTATGTGGAGGATTGGATTTTTAAGTTTAAGAGGTATTGAATGGGTATTAATTAGTTTAAGTAGGTATATGCAAGTTAAGGATATAAAAAGAGGGGAAATATGAAGTGTTGAGAAGATTATGAAGCGATTTTCGTGCTAAAATAACATTTATGGGCTATGTGCATCGATGCACATTCAATGTGTATCGATGCATCAAGGGAAAAAACCCAGAAATTGTTCAATGTGCATCGATGCACATGAAGTGTATCGATGCACTTCTTTAAAATAAAAACATCGAATGTCATTAGTTTATCGATGCACAAGTAGTGTATCGATGCACCCCCTTAAAATACAAACATCGAATGTAATTTATGTACCGATACATAGATTGTGCATCGATGCACCCGTCAAGGGATGCATCGATACATGGTGTAGTGTATCGATGCATACCTTCATTAAAATATGAAAATAACTTTCTTTTAGCCTAAGGAATGATAGTTTAGAATATATTAATTAGTATACTGATTAGCATCAATGTATTACTATGTAGATATAGAACATAATTTCGTTCCGGAACAAACAAAGGATTAGGATCAAGTCAAAATAAGCAAGGCCAAGGTGAGTGCATATCCTAGATGAAATGAAATTGAGACAAGACTTGCGATAAGTCTATCTCTTATCATTGAATTTATGATTTTATATTCATGCACATGCATACATATATATGTGTTAACGTTATAGTGATTTCATGCATTTTTCATTCATGATTAACATGGTATATGAATGAATGCCATTATTAGAGAATTCTTCCAGATATGTGAAATAATGAAAATGATCATATAAAGTGACTTATGTGTTTACATGGACTGTGATGAAAGAGATATGAAATGAGAAATGTATTTATAATTAAGCCCGTGTTATTTAATATGAGAGCTATAGGTATAATTGGCATGCCAAGAGTCGAGGGATTATCAGTGGTCCTTTGGGACATAGTGGTTCTTCGGAACAATTAGTGGTCCTTCGGGACATAATGGTCCTTCAGGACAAATATTCAATGCCCCTTGAGGAAATTATACGAGCTGTGGTGACAGCATAGTGCACAACCTCTATGTACTCACATACGTTTGTTCTCCATAATGTACATGGGCAATTCAAAGATTAATTAAAGTGGAATTAGCATAAGAACATATGTTTTATATGTGCATGTTACCGTCATATATATTATAGTGAAATAGATGCATACAAATAAAGATGTCATGATCAGATGGTAAGAATGCATGTTCATGAATGCATTGTTATATATATATATATATATTATGTCTCACTAAGTCTATGACTTAGCGTAGGTACCAAGAATCAAGAGGAACAGTAATAGAGGCGGCAAGGACATCATCACTACTAAAAGATCAGATCAGAAGTAATTGACAAAGTAGGTATTTTGGTTGTGTATTGAGTGTTGGCATGTAATAAGTGGCTAATTACGAATACTCAGATCGATTTTGTATTTTGTGGTCTCTTTTATGTAAATTAATGTATTTGGTTTTAATGAAAGCTTAAAATTTTCCTGTTTTCTTTAAGTGTCAAAGTTTGAAAAGTCAATGTGATACCTCGGACTCATATTCGGGTCGGATATGGGTTAAAGGTGTTGTAACATCCCAAGTCAGGGTTAGTGACTAATTGCAAATTTTGAAAGTTTCGTGCTCAATTTAGAAATAAATTAAAAGTCTCGGGAGTTAAGTAAGAATTTTAATATTGGATTAAATAGCAAGGATGGATAAACTAAAGGGGCAAAATGGTCTTTTCTTGGGAAAGATTTTTATCTTCACTTTTTGAGTATTATCAAACGTGGGAAAATATGAGAGAGTTCTAGACTTTTCTTCTTTGTTCTCTCCTTTTCCACCGTGAAGCCATAAGCAAAGGTAAGATCTCTTGTTAGTTGATATTTAACTGAATTTAGGATTTGGTTATGATTATTGGATGATAATTAAGCTTTAGGAAAGCTTAAATCATCTTAAAAACAAAGGATGGTGGAATTATGAGAGATTAAAGATTAAGAGTTTTTGAATGAAATTCTGGAATAGAGTTCTTTACTCAAATTGGAAGATAAATTTGACTTGTCAATGGTTGAATTAAGAGATATGAAGTGATGGAATTGAGTTTAGAACAAGAAGAAAAATTAGTGTGATTCTTGAATTCTATGTAGAGAATTAGATTTTGAAGTTAAAGATGTATTGAATGAGTAGTAATGAGTATAAGCATGTATATGTAAGTTAAGAATAAGAAAGAGGATGATATATGAAGTGTTTGAGAGGAAATGAAGTAATTTTTCGTGCTGAAAAATGATTTATGGGTGCAATTCTACGCGGCACTCCGGTGCAATTCTACGTGGCACTTCGGTGCAATTATACGAGCTGTGGTGACAGCATTAGTGCACGACCTCTATAGACTCACATATCTATGGTTCTCACATGTGTACATGGGTTAATAAAGGAAATAATATAAAAGAACCTTGCATGATAGTATGTGATTGATTTGTAAT